CAGAACGTCGAGCTGAGTTAATTTAGCCATGTCCGTCTGTCCGTCTGTCTGTCTGTCCGTCTGTTTGTATGCAATCTAGTCTCTCAGTTTTCGAGATATCCAGATCAAATTTGGTAGGTGGGTGTATTTTTATAATGTATTAATCATTTGTCGGAACCGGAAGAATCGGACCACTATAACCTATAGCTCCCATACAACTGATTGTTCAGATATAAAATTTTTCGTTATAACTCCTCCATTTATATAGCTAGGAACATGAAATTCCACACTGTTTTCAATAATTATCAACAGAAAGCTTACAGTGAAAATTGAAACAATCGGGTAACTATAACCTATAGCTCCCATACAACTGATTGTTCAGATATGAGATTTTTCGTTATAATTCATCCATTTATGTAGCTAGGAACATGAAATTTCGCACCATTTTCACTCATTATTAACATAATACTTACAGTGAAAATAACATGGATCGGATGACTACAACATATATCTTCCATACATCTGATTGTTCAGATATGGGATTTTACTGTAAAACTCCTTTATTTGGAGAGCTAAAACCGATAAATTTCGTAAGATATTTTATAAATAATAATACAAAGTCTACTGAGAAAATCGTCAAAATCTATGCTGTATAAGCTTTATCTCCTATAGCACTGATTGTTCAGATACCAGTTTTTGCCATATATCTCCTTTATGTAGGAAACTAAACCCAATAAATTGTGTTACCGGCTTACATACCGAACACATAGTAGTGAAAATCACTTAGATTGGTGCCATATAAAGTATATCTTCCATACCTCTGATTGTTTAGATGCGATTTTTTATATAAGTATGTAACTCCTCTATCGATGCATGCAGATTTATTCAAAAGCAGTAATCTGTCAAAGTAAAATTTGCAGATGTTCATGAAAGGTATGAAGCCTTCGGCATAGCCGAAGACAGCGCTGCTCTTACTTGTTTAATATGTTAATTTGGTCTAAAATCTATAAGCTCAAGAAAATATCTCGAAAGGATTTTTTTTTTTAATTTTTTTTTTTCCGGCGATATCTATATACCACCCATTAAAAATTGCGATCTACTAATATGACTAACATATTTCAGATAAAAAAAATAATAGTTTTTTTATTTATTTTTGTTACAAAAGATATAGTTAATATGTTTTTGTTTTTGTTTGAATATTTTTTTTTTTATAAAGGTGAAATATTCGTTTTTTATCAAGGTAGCCTCGTAGGCGATGTTTAGCGGATAAGCGACAACACTCCTGATACAAAATTTTCGTCATTTTTACCCATTCAATGTTTCAAAACTTCGATAATTTAATGTACTTCATTTTTCTTTATCTAGGTCAGTTTTTATATAGAATGTTAATGTAATTGCTTAACATGTAATATAATTTGATTGCTTCCAAGTGTCCGATGCGTATTATGATGCTTCTTTTATTTCTAGTTAGTCTGTAAGTTTTAAATACATAAAACAAAGTATCTATATGAAAATTATGCTGGACTTTAAAACCAAGATCAAAGATTAAGGATACTAAGTTGAACCCAACATTTTATTTGCTAATTGATCTAATAGAAAAAGCGACGAAGATGAGGTCAGCTCGCGGAAATTGATGAGTCTGTTACTGTTAATTTTCGTTCACCTAATTCACAAGCAAGTCCAATGATTTCATCTGCGCACACTGACGAAGTAATATCACTTACGATGTCAACGAATTTAAATTTATGTACATAGTGAAATATCGCAGTATTTTGATATTTCTAAAATATGGGAGGTGAGCGTCCGATTTCAAAAACGTGCAAAGAATTTTTGAGTGGACTGCCAGCAATGCGTGCACCAAGTTTAGGTTAAATCCGCTAAGCGGATACTGAGATACTTGTATTCCATCATAAATGGGCTTGACCACGCGGATTTTCCAAAATTCATTTCAATTTAGCTCCAATGGTTATTTAATGACTACCTTTATATGCAAGGTATTTAGGCGTAGTTTTGGTGCGGTTTATAACCCCGTCGTGGGCAAAGATTAATAAGTGTACCAAGTTGCATTGCCAAATATCGTTTATTTTCAAAGAAAAATTTTGTTGGCCGTTGCTCCATACAAGCGGAACCACTGTGCGTTGCCTCATTGCAGTTGCTTTTGTCTTTATTGCAGCAATAATAAGAGTATAGATTTGATTAACAAGATTCTTTTCCTCTCTTTTCTAACACTTAAAATCGGAAATTTCGTTTTTTTCGTAAAAGTGGAATTGCAAGTTTTCGCTTGAGTTGTTTTGAAAATTGTGCGCAAAGACGATACAATGGCTTTGAGACTATTGCAAAAATTTGTTGTAATTATCTATGTAAGTATGCGCATCGACAAGCAAATTGACTTGAGACAGTAGCAGTGAAGTGAAAAAATACTTGAAAGTATACTTATTTCGAAGGTTTTGTATAGATTATTTTTTATTTTATGTTTTGCTAAAATTCCAGCCAATAGAATTATGCCAACCTATGTATATTTTTTTCCTTCATGATTCGACTTGTGATCATGGGAGGAGCTTCATTTCACTTTATTTCATTTTGAAGAATGTCCGATTTTGAGTAAAATTGGCGAAAGTGAAAAAAACACCTTGGCTACTTGGGTAGATGTGCGAATTTTTACGAAAAATCGGCTTAGTTTAAAATTCACTTGAATTGCCGCAAGTACGCATAGCATCCTTGTGCGTATACATATGTACGTACCGAAGCAATAAAAGCTGTACTTGAAACCTTTTTAAGAATTTAAAGGACTCTTATGGCATCATTCATAGAAAATAAAATAGATTTGAAAATCTTTATGAAGTGAGATTTTCTAAGAAAATTTTCGATTTATGAAACGTACTTTATTTTATTTTTTTCTTTTTGAATAAGTGTTTAGTTAATATATTTTCGAAGGTATTTAATCCTGGAAATTTAATTTGTAATCTAATAACCCGATTCTAGATATCATGCACTTTCTTCAAAGGTGTATTAATTCAGTATTTACCTTATATTATCACTTCAACTGAATAAATTTTTTTTTAATAGGTGGCACCCCCGGCTATCAAAATATTTTTCGGCAGTAAACTTTCTTAAAACTCTTCAGTTTGATACCCGTATTTTAATATTTTATTTATTTTATCAATTTAAAAATTGAATTAAATTTTTCAAACAGGTGGCCACGCTCCTCAAAGAAGCTTTTGGCAGTCAACTTTCCTAAACCTCTTTATTTATACCTACAATTAATCAATTAAATCAAATTAAAATTTTCAAACAGGTGGCAACCTTCCCAAATTGTTTCGACTCTAAGCCTTCTTAAATATCTTTATTTTCAAAGCTGCATTGCAATATTTTCTTTATCTCATAAATTTACTTAAACTGTAATTTTCGAAAAGGTGGCAACTCTCTAATAACTTTTTTTCTGTATTTTAAGTTATACCTTTAGCAATGCACCAGTGAAAAGTGCATTCGATTGAATGCATTAGTCTCCTTCTACAAAAGAGAAAATAATTAACTTTAAAAATCGTTAAATTTATTACTTGTGGAAAAAAAATATATTCATTTTCGAGTTGCTCAAATGTGTTAACACTCCAGGAATTTTCATTTTAAATCTTCAATGAAATCATGTTCAGTGTCTCTGAAACTGAGGTCATCCATAAATTAAATGGATTTTTGAGAAACTTTTTCAATGCACAAATACACTTGGTGTTTACTATTGCCCGTCGAGGGGCGACCGCTGTTGTTGTTTCTTTAACCAAGGATCGAAGAGAGACTAACTAATTGAACCTTCGACTGTGTAGAACGAAAGTGGAAAAAAGACTTAAAGTGCTTCAGTGAACTACACCAGCGGATATAAAAGCTGGTAATAGTATTGCTCTTTTCATCAGACGACTATACGATTATTGTAGAGCGCAGTCGTTTAGATAAGGATTTACGACAAGGTATCGCGACTGGATGGATCGGAAACTTGGCCTTTTCGACCGCACAGGCCTCATCAAAACCTAGATGAGCTCAACAATTTTAGCACTGATTGGAAACTAGGCCTTTCCAACACCTCGGTTACAGTGGCTGCGTGTCTTGACAAAAAAAAATTTATTCACTGCTGTCAAATAAATAATGAAAACTGGTAAACCTAATGGTATTACCGATCCATACGAAATCACCACCCCTTTCAATGCTTTGCCTAGAATGAAAATTCAAAATACTATACCGAAGTAGTACATTTAAATATAAGAATTTGGCATATAGAAACTCATTAAACTTAAGCCATGCAGCTTTCTCTAAACAGAATTTTATTGCTTTTACAAGTTTTTAGTAAGCTTCACCTGCGTGTAATCAAATCTTGCAACCAATTTTAAACCAACTTCCCGATGACCTAGAGACTTGAAACTTACCTCAGAACCCGATGACTTAATCCGATAGGTGGCGCGAGTGCTGTGATATTTGAAAAGCCCATATTCGTGGTCGGATTTGTTTTATACTTAGAACGTATATTACTCAAATGGAAAGAAATAACTCAATAAAAAGTTTTGCCGTAACAATTTCAAACTGTGCAGCATTTTGGAAAAATGGGCGGTGCCATGCCTCATACAAGTAGAAAGCCAAATTCGTTAAATCTCCTTATATAAGGTATCTGAAAATTCTTTTGCGGACAATATCAAAAACGACAAATATTTAATTAATACCCCTTTGAAGAAAATGCGCAATATGAAGAAATCGATACTTCGCCTTCCTTCTAAATAACTTCAAAACAACATTGATTAAGATTTTTGGATGTAGTGAGTTAAAGTAATAACCAAAATACTTTTAAGGCGCGGCGAAGCACGCCGGGTATTTGCTAGTTATTACTAAATATCCTTGCCTTTTATTATTCAATATACAATGGCAACCACGTTGTCAGTCATACATACATACGTATATTTGTTTACATTTTACTTGTTCAATAGATAACCCAGGCTTTCTTGAAAATAATGCCTTGTTTATTTTATTACATTTATTTACAGGCAACTTTTATCACCAAATATACAACAAAAACATTACCACGTGGGTGGTTATCTGGTGGATGGTAATCGGCATGTAAGTACTTAAATACATACTCATATATTGAAAAATGCCTAAACATATATATATGTATAGTTACAGCCGCTATCAGAAATAAGTAAACAAACTTTCTGAACCAAAATTCGTATCAAGGCGAATTCATACAAGGTGGTGTTACCGGAGCAACTGATTTCAAGGCGAATTCTGCTGATTG